TAATAGCAATAATATTATTAAATAAAGTAATTATTAAAAAATAAAAATATAAAAAAATGATTAAACATATACGCAATTATCAACAATTAAATCACAATACGCATAGGCAACGTTAAATACAAAATATTAAATTTATTAAATTACAACAAAGCAATTACAAATTACAAAATACAAATTACAATTTAGAAATTAAATCATATATAAGATATTTAATAAATATTTAATATAAAATAATTTAATAACAATAATTAAATATTATGTAGAAATTTATCTACAAAAATTCTGATGAAAATAAAAAAAATTATTAATTAAAAACCAGTGAGTTCAAAAAAGTTCAAATTTAATATTAAAAACAAAAGAATTTTTTTAAGAAAAAACTACCTCAAAGTGAAAAATTCAGTGTACAAAATAAAACTTTTGCAAAAAAACCTACAAATTTTTTTTATAAAAACAGCACAAATATAAAGTGTACAAAATCTAATAAAACAACTTTACAAAATCCCCAAATTAATTTTTAAAAAGTAATCTTAACGAAGGATACACGAATTTAATTATTAAAGAATAAAAATATTAACGAATATTAAAAATTAAATTGAAAAATCTCACTCTAAATCTAAACTTTTCATCATCGTCATTGGTTGATTAGCACGCTCAGCCATGCTAGTGTTCGCACTTAAATGGCGTCTTCAATAATTGCTCAAACAAGCGGCGGTACAGTAGAAACGTCTGCAACAACAAATCCTTTAACAACAGCTTCAAATTTGCACAACTCGCATTTGAATCATTTGAGCAGTTTGAGTCAACATTACACGACGCAAACCTATCAACATCCACAGCAGCATCCACAGCAACAACAACATTTGCTACCATTGCATCATCAACAGCAACAGCAGCATTTGCACTATCAGCAGGTGCAACAACAGCAACAGCAGCAGCAGCAGCAACATTGGGATTACTATGCACGCCAACAACAACTATCGCAAACAACAAATAATCTGCAACAACAACCTCAACAGCCTACAGCGCCACCGCCCAATACCACAACACAACATCAACAGTCAACAACTCAATCAACACAATCAACCACCCCCAACTCAACGAGCAACAGTAACTCGAATGCCAACAGCAATGATGCGAACAATGGAAATGATCCAGTGAATCAATCTCAAACGAACGGCAATAGCAATAATAATTACACACGTCCTTGGGAAATGGATACAAAGGACACAACGAAAGGCGGCTTCGAGCCATTCTCGAAGCTGCCCTCATTTCAAAGTCAATTTCATGGCTATAACGATCAATTAATGGCAGATGCTGCTTCACTGTCAGCAACACTGCCGCCCTCTATGTCTTCACTGCAAACTGTCGCCATGTCACCAGCTAGCATATCAGTTAGCTCACCGGGCATGGTGAGTGTTGGTTCGCCACTAACACAATTGAGCGGTCTACAGACAAGTATAACGCCACCAGCAAGTTCATTTTCTGCCCTAGGTGCTCCGCCACCACCACCGCCCAATACATTTCATCACCCACTTAGCGCAGTAAATACGCATCCGCACCATCGTGCCACGTATCCGCTAGTGCCAGCTGCACTTCCACCAGCTGCTACTACTCTACAAAGTACGACTGCTGCTTATGGGAGTGGCACGGCGTTGGATGATGGACGTCATCATTTAGGTTTATATCAACCATTAACAACTTCTTATGCCTCAGCCGCATTACCTCCGCCAACTTCGACTTTAACACCGGCTACACATATTGGTGCAAATTCACAGCTCACGCACAGTGGCCTCTCTAAGAAGGAATCTTTGCATACAACATTTGATCTCAATAATGGCAACGGCCTAACTGCCCTGTCAAACAACCAAAATATTGCAACTACGCCTATGGGTATGCATACACCGACGCCCTCATATGATGGCAACACTTCCTCTATGATGGACGCAACAAATGGTGGTGTCGGCTATCACACGCCACATTCTACGCATACGAATAGCACAGGACCGCATACACCACATACAACACAGTCGCATACGCCCACTCCGACGACAACTACGCGCATCAAGGTGGAAAAGGAACTTAATTCACCCATAACACGTGTAGATGCGCGTAAGAAGGAACGGCGGAAAAATCGTGCTAATTCGCTTGAATCCAGTGCTGAATCTGAAGCCAGTGCTATGGATGTTGATCCTAGCAATCCGGGACAAGTGGACGCTGTATCAAGTACAGCCAATTTTAAGAGTCCCTTAAGCGCTTTGGGCATGGGTGACAGTAATGACACTAACGGCACTGAGAAACAGGTGAGTTTTTGAGAGAAAATCTAGTTTCAACAAATAATCTTTTGCTTAAGTCTAATCAAACGTCTGTCTTTCAGTCGAAGAAGAAACGCAAGCGTTGCGGCGAATGCATCGGCTGTCAACGCAAAGACAACTGCGGCGAATGTGCACCGTGTCGTAATGACAAGAGTCATCAGATCTGCAAACAACGGCGCTGCGAAAAACTCACCGAGAAAAAGGTAAGTGCCATAATATATTGAACTCTTTACCTTACTTTTGTTTCCATTCAATTGATGTGTTAGTGATGATAGAGGGTCAGTAGACTCAATATGAAGTACAAAAATTTACGATTGTTTAGTGAACAGATGTTTCACAATGAAATATTTTAGTAAAACAAATTGAAAAAAGAAAAGAAAAAAATAAAGCAAATAAAGTCGAAAACTCTTTGTGAAAGAAGAAAAAACTGAAAGGCCAAAAAACGCGCCTTTTATAAATAATGAGCTACAATATAACAATTTACTTTAACTGTTTCAAAGGAGAACCGTTTCAAATATAGTAACTCCCGTACCGCACTGCATGGAACAGGTTTCAAGCCGTGCGGTTATTATCCTACAAAATATCCGTGGCACTTAAATGCCCCTAAAGCCTTGTACATGCCCAATTATTTCAGGTTTGCCACTTCGCAAAAATACAAAAATACAAAATTTGCGCCAAACATCGAAAAGATACTCCGCTTTGTTGTGCCACATAAACAGGATTCGTTGTGTCGACTTTTTTCGTACTTCCTTCAGATAACCGCGCGTACGAATTGAGGTTTCTTGCAGTAGATACTGCGTTAACAATGTCTCTCCGCATACTTCCGTTTTTAATTTATCACAAAATGACATAAATTATGTTCAAGCAAAAATTTTAAAATTTTTTACATATTTTTCCTACCGCAAATGCAAAAACTGTGAATGGCAGAGTTGTATGACCCGAGGCAGTGGCGTGGTTCATGTATTATGAAGCAGGTGCATTGCTTCGATTGTTTTCGCTCATTACATTATTTACTTAAAATCTCTTTAACGACTTTAAATCATGTAACTGGCGCAAAGGAAATAAGAAGTTTTAACAAAATAATACGAAAAACAGGTCACTGTGAGATAAAAAGTATGAAGTAACAAGAAGGAGAAAAATAATTCAAACAAATTTTCAAAAAAGAAAATATAATGCGAATAATACATTGTCTCTCAACTCTTCAACTTTATATATATTTGAAGTTTCACTATTTTATTATTTTTACACAATTTCGAAGTGAATTTAAACATCAATATTAAAAAATTTTATTTTTACCAAGAACGCAATATACTTGTTTGGTCGATTGTAATACCAGGTTATCTCCTACACGACCACTTCTTATAAGTTTAAAACCGTGTTTCTCTCACGACGATAAGATTCCACCCACTCTTGAGTATATATAGTTTGATGAAACATTTGTACTTGCCGTTTTTCAGTACGACAACTGTAGAAAAAAATACTTTCCACTAATCTGTCCTATCTGATGACCCAAACTGGACGATGTCAGAGAAAATGAGTGATTAGTTCCTTTTCGTCTAAGTTTCCACAATTTTTATAATAATTGTTGAAAAGAATGCCATACAAAGGTTTCTGTACTACATTGGCCTGAAAGAATTGCATATAAACTAGCAATATTAACACGATCCTTGTAAAAGAGTTTTAAAATTTTTATAATGACTGCTAAAAAAAATTCCCTGCGAGGATTACTATATACCAGTGATCTAGATTGATAATAAAGATCATACATTGCACATAAAGCCGTAGGATTGACATGATTCTTGTTAAAAGGTTTACCGATTGATTGTTCACGTTACCGATTGATTGCCCGATTGTTTCTATAAACAGTTTGTTCCAGTCTGTGTATTTAAGGAACCTCTAAGATTATTGAAATGCAGTTTACCTAAAATAGCTTAGATAGGCATATATATTAATGTATATTGACAATGATTTACTTGTTTGAAATTATTTGATAAGCTAATTGTGAAGTATGGGTTGGGTTTGACCCCTGTTTGAGTGGGTCACTGACTGGTTACAATTGGGTTAAAAATTATAGTTTGTTGATTTTATTGGTTGTAACTCACGTCTAAAATATAATAATAAAGTATTATCAGTTAAATATCTTAAATTTTGTTATAAATAATTGAAATATATAACATTTACTCCATAAGTTTATATCACTAAATTTATGAATAATTCTTTTTACTATGAAGGTACTTCTTAAAAATAAGTTAGTAGTTGGTATACTCAGAAAAATATGCTTGAACCGCATACTAGTTAAATCGACCCGATCATTTAGTTAGAGTTATTTTAGCTCATGTGGTAAAAAAAACCAACATTTGATATGGTTGAACCAACATGATGCGCGTGTAAAAATATTTTGACCTAGGATTTAGTTAAAATCTGATTAAATCAACCAAATTATTTTTATAAGTGGCAGATCTTCATTTTTATTATATAGAAATAAATTGTATGGTGGGAAATAACTCCGTATATTTTATTAGACCTTTGCTTCATTTTTTATACTATATAAATATAGTTTTTAAAATAAATTTAGTAGTTGGGAATATATACACATATATATTTACTGACTAATTTATTTACACAATTGTTTATAGAACTTTAATGGGTGTCTTCTGAAATTGCTAATTAGAGTTCATTCCCATAATCATTTATAAATCAGGAATTGCAAGAGTATAGCATATTTAAAATTCTTCTGTCACATACTTTAAATAACTTCAAAGCACATTTTAGAAAAAAAAAAAAAAATAATGTCATCATTAATAACATTCACAATTAGAAGACCAGAAAATTAAAAAAAGAAAAAACTATGTCAAGTCCGATTATCTTCCATAACTAAGGGAAGCAAAAATTTTTACATTGAATTGCTACACAAAAGATTCGTTTCCAGAAAGACTAATCCTATCTTTTGCTAATCTCAAATTTTTTTTCTGCATAAGATAATCATGTATGACTTTTAGAGCAAAAATTTATTTTTAATATTAGATTGAAAATATTTAAATTTGTGTGCATTCATATAAAAACAAAATTGTTAAAAATAAAAAATATATAAACAAAATTTTAAATAATTTTTCTACAAAAAACAAAAAAAAAACATAAATAACTCACAAAAGCTATAAATACCATTTGCAATACATCAAAAAGTACAATTTTTATCTGATATCTGTTAAAAAGTTTTTTCGTGTGAATGAGGCAAACTATAAAAACATTTGGCACATTGCAATATAACTGAATTATTTGTACATCTGTTGACAAAAAATATTTTCAATACATTTGCTTAAAATTTAATTGCTACTAATATTTTATTGATTTGATAAGAGAAATATTTTCATAGATAAGTGAAACATGCATTAATTCATACGTGCGCCAGTGTGCCAGTGTGTGCAATTAAATTCTTCAAAAAAACCTTTTTTCAAATAAGAAATACACTAACAAGTTCAGTTCAATTCAATTCAGTTCAGTTCAGTTCAGCACTTAGATACAACGATAACAACAACAACAACAACACAATACGAAGGCAATAATAACAGTACAACATCAGCATAATGTGTTTCATCTTTCTTTTGCACACATATTTACTTTATTATTTCATTGAATTAAACAACAACAACAACATCAAAACCAATAACAATACAACACACATACAAAACTAAAATTCAACAAAATGTGAAACAAACACAAAAAAAAAAACAAAAATGTAATACAAAAATGGAGGAAACCAGTGAGCAGATGTTCACAAGCAACAAACACGGTTTGAATCAAACGGATATACATACGCACAAACAAACACACATACTTATGCTTACTTTTCATACAAATGAACGCCGACACAAATTTATAAAAGTAAGTAAGCAGAGCAAGCAAGCCTTTGTTAAGCAAGCGTACGTATTTTTATGCGCGCGCAGAAAAACAACACAACAACAAAATAATAAGGCAAACAGGCCAATATAAAAACAAACTGATATATACAACAACAATATTAATGTTCATAGTGCGCCGCTGCTACTACATTGCTGCTGTTGGAACAAAAGGTTGCTAAAGAACTACTCTGTCTACTAAGCCCTCATTGTACACACGCACACACACGTATATGCTTGTTTGTTTTTATTGCTATTTTTTTTTTTTTTTTGTGAAATAAAGTTATAAATTTTAAGTAAATATACATAAATTTATATTTTAATAAGCAGTGAAGAATTTCTAAAAAGTTTTTAACTAATTTATCGCATGCTATATAAAATACTAAACAACTAGCATGCTTCAAATTTATTGTACAGCTGAATTTGTGCACTAAATTAGCCACTCTGGTTATCTTGTATCGTAAGTCGCCTGTATCTTTGTGCCGCTGTTAGTGTACGATCGCGTAAGTCAAACGCGCCTTTTTGCACACTGCTTCATATTGAAACATATATATAGTATATATATATATATACACATATATATATGAAGTTGTTAAAATAATATCATGTGACCGAAAGTTTGAATTTTAAGCCTTTATTTTGTATTTTGTTGCCAATCGTTTGCGGATCAATGAACGTTACAAATTTTATTGTATTTTTTTCTTTGATATTTTTATTCTTGAAAACATTTTGCCACAAATTTAATTCGATTATTGGCTTTATTTATGGCCAATGTATGTAATCAATCTATCCACTCGCATCAGAGAGTTCCTTGGCCTTTCGCTTGCCAGGATATACCTATTTTCCATTCATTCTTTGTACCAACTTCATATACATACATATTTTTTTCTTTCTTAGTTTCTGTATTTAAGTTCGTTATCTTGCGAGTTGAGAAACTTAATCAGCGCTAAAATAAAAAATATCAAAAAATAAAAATTGCTTATTCAGCAGCAAATGAAAATAAAATACATCAGATTTTTTTTTTTTGTTTCGTTTTTTAGTTGACAAGCGCATTCATAATTATTTTTTAAGTTACTTTCAAATAATATTTTTTCCTTAATTTTTATGCCTTTGTACTTCAGCTGACACTTTTCTTAAGGGTGCCATTGCTGCTCCACTACCTTGTCATACTTCAATGTTACTTTTTTATATAATTTTTATTTTTATATATACATATAATGAAAAGTCAGCAAATATATTCCACGAAAATAAAAAACAAGCAATGAAATTCATAAAAAAAATCTGTAAAAATTAAGCACAACAAACAC